CACACCTGTAGTCTCAGCTACTTGGGGCTGAGGTAGAAGAGAATCGCTTGAACCCGGTAGGTAGGTGGAGGTTGTAGTGAGCCAGCCGAGATCTTACCACTGTACTCCAGACTGGGTGACACAGCCTGAATCTATTTCAAAAATAAAGAAGAAATGTTTGCCTAATCCAAGCATATGAAGATTTGCAGCTGTGTTTTCTTCTAAGAGTTTTATAATTTTACTACTTACATGTAGGTCTTTCATTCATTTTGAGTTAATTTTTGTGTATAGTAGGGGGCTAAATTCATCCTTTTGCATGTGGCTATCTAGTTGTCCCAGGACCTTTTGTTAAAAAGACTGGGTTTTTCTCCCTTAATGGTCTTGGCACCCTTGTTGAAAATCAGTTAACCATATATGTATGGGTTTATTTTAGACTCTCAGTTTCTATTCCATTGACCTGTATGTCTGTCCTTATGCCAGTACCACCCTGTCTTTATTACTGTAGCTTTTTAGTCAGTTTTGAAATTGGGAAGTGTGAGTTCTCCAACTTTGTTTTTGTTTTTCAAGATTGCTTTGGCTGTACTGGATTTCTTCCAATTCCATATTAATTTTAGGATCAGCTTAAATTTCTGTGAAAAAGCCAGCTGGGATTTTGAAAGGGACTGTGTTGAATCTGGAAATTCTTTCGAGGAATATTGCCACCTTAACAATATTAAGTCTTCCAATCCATGAACATCAAAATGTGTTTACATTTATTTAGGTCTTCTTTAATTTCTTTTGGTAATACTTTTTAGTTTTCAGTGTACATTTCTTGCACTTCTTTTGTTAAATTTATTCTAAGTGTTGAATAGAAGTAGTGAGAGTGGCATATTTATCTTGTTCCTGATTTTAGGGGGAAAGCTTTCAGTCTTTCACCATAAAGTATGATGTTAGTTTATGTGGTGTTATGATTTGAATGTGTTCCCCAAAAGTTCATGTGTTGGAAACTTAATCTGTCTGCCCTATGAATGAATTAATGAGGCTCTGCTCTTATGCATGGATTAATGTTGCTGGCATGTGAGTAGGTCTGTTATTGCAGGAGCGGCTTTGTTTTAAAACCAAGCTTTCTCACACTCACTTGCCCTTCCGCCATGTTATGATGCAGCATGAAGGCCCTTGCCCAATGCTGGAGCCATGCTCTTATGCTTCCCAGCTTTCAGAACTGTGAGAAATCAATTTCTTTTATTTATAAATTATCCAGTCTGTGGTATTATCTTACAGCAACAGAAAATGCACTAAGACGTGGGTAAACAGATGTGGGTTTTTCAGAGATGTCCTTTATTAGGTAGAGGAAGTTCCTTTCTATTCTTAGTATATTGAAGGGATTTTGAATTTTGTCAAGCATTTTTTCTATGTGTCTGTTGAAATGATTATGTTTTTCTCTTTCATTCTATCAATATGATGTGTTAAATTCTTTTTAGCTTTATTGAGGTATAATTGACAAAAATTGTATGTGTTTAAGGGATACAGCTTGATATTTTGATATACATGTACATTGTGAAATATCACCACAATTAAGCTAATTCATGTATCTGTCACCTCACAGTTACCATTTTCTTTGTGTGTGTAGGTAGTGAGAATACTTAAAAAATTTAGAATGTACAATACAGTATTGTTAACTATAGTTATGATGCTGTACATTAGATCTCCAAAACTTACTTATCTTGTATAACAGAAACTTTATACCTGTTGAACAACAACCTCCCATTTCCTTCACCTTCAGCCCCTGGCAATCACCATTCTACTCTCTGCTTCTATTGAGTTTGACTATTTTAGATTCCACAAACAAGTGAGGTCATGCAGTATTTGTCGTTCTGTGTTTTGCTTATTTCACTTAGCATAATGTCCTCCAAGTCCATCCATATTATCACAAATGGCAGGATTTCCTTCTTTTCGTAAGGCTGAATAATGTTCTGTTGTGTGTGCATGTGTGCGTGCGTGCCACCTTTTCTTTATCCACTTAGCCATTGATAGACATTTAGGTTGCTTCCATATCTTGGCTATTGTGAATAATGCTGCAATGAGCATGGGAATGCACATATCTCTTTGAGATACTGAACTCATTTCCTTTGGATGTATACCAAGAAGTGGGATTGCTGGATCATAGGGTAGTTCTATAATTTTCTGAGGAATCTCCCATACTGTGTTCTATAATGGCTGTACTAATTTACGTTTTCACCAGCACACCAGCAGTGTGTAAGGGTTCCCTTTTCTCCACATCCTCCCTAACACTTAACTTTTGTCTTTTTTTTTTTTTCTGAGACGGAGTCTTACTCTGTCACCAGGCTGGAGTGCAGTGGTGCAATCTCGGCTCACTGCAACCTCCACCTCCCGGGTTCACGTGATTCCCCTGCCTCATCCTCCCTAGTAGCTGGGACTACAGGCGCATGCCAACATGCCTGGCTAATTTTTTGTATTTTAGTAGAGACGGAGTTTCACCATGTTGGCCAGGATGGTCTCGATCTCCTGACCTTGTGATCCGCCTGCTTTGGCCTCCCACAGTGCTGGGATTACAGGCATGAGCCACTGCGCCCAGCCTTGTCTTTTTGATAATAGCCATTCTAACTACTGGAGTGAAGGGATATCTCATTATGTTTTTTTTTTTTTTTTTTTTTTTTGAGACAGGGTCTCACTCTATTGCCCAGGCTGAAGTGCAGTGGTGCAAGCTTGGCTCACTGCAACCTCTGCTTCCCAGGTTCAAGTGATTCTCCTGCCTCAGCCTCCCAAGTAGCTGGGATTACAGGCGTGTGCCACAACACCCGGCTAATTTTTGTATTTTGAGTAGAGACAGGGTTTCACCATGTTGACCAGGCTGGTCTCGAACTCCTGGCCTCAAGTGATCTGCCCATCTTGGCCTCTGAAAGTGCTGGCATTCCAGGCGTGAGCCACCACGTCCAGCCCTCATTATGGTTTTGATTTGCATTTCCCTGATGATTAGTCTTTTCATATACCTGTTGGCCATTTATATGTCTTGGAGAAATGTCTATTCAGGTCATTGCCCATTTAAAAAATCAGGTTAATTATTTATTTGCTATTGAGTTGTATGAATTATTATGTGAGAAAAGAAGATTGGTTTGACCACAGAAAAACCTAAAATTTCCACATAGTGGAAAAAGTCAAAGACAAATGACAAACTAGAGAATAACCAAGGCCCCTTCATTATTTACAAGTTTCCTTAATGTAAAATTAAAAGGTAGCTGAATAAACAAAGGACATGAACTAACAGTTTGAAACAAAGAAAATGCAAATGACTATTAAATATATGAAAAGATGTGTAACTTTACTCCTAAAAAAAGAAATACAAATTAAAAGATTCCATTTTTCACATGTGAGAATGGCAGTGATGCAATTTAATGGCATACAGTGTTGGTGAGACTGTAAGGAAACAGGAACTCTCAGTATATTGGTAGTGTGAGTCTAAATTGGTTCAACTTCTATAGAGAGAAATTTGGCAGCATCTACCAGAATTTAAAATGTACACACTTCTAGGAATTCATCCAACACGTAAAAAACATTTTGGTTCATCTATACAAAGGAATACAATGTGGTCCTTGTAAAGAATGAAGTAGCTCTTTATCTATTGATAGGAATATATATATACACACATATATATATTTTTTAACCAAGTTATATTTTTAAGTGAACGAAAGTAGAGAACACTGTATATTTGTTTAAAAAAGGAAAAAAAAATATTTTCTTTATGTACCATTCAGAGTTCTTTGCTTATATATGCATCAGCTATCTCTAGGATGAGCAGAAAAAACCAGAAACAGTATTTGCCTCTGGGGAAGGGAACTGGGTGGGTGGAGGATGAGTGGGGAAGATATTTTTTGTTTTATACTCTTATGTATACCATATGCATATATTGCCTATTACAAAGTTGAAACAAGGGGAGGGGAAGTGAGGAGACCAGTCAGGACGAGCTGTTACAGTCGTCCAGGGAGTTGATAATGGTGGTGTAGGCTAAGATAGTGGCAGGAACGTGGAGACAAGCAGACAGATTCAAGGTCTTTTCTTGGAGATAAAGTCCGTAGGATTTGCTGATGAAGTAGGTGTGGGAGATGAGGGGAAGAGAAGAATCAAGGATGAGTCCCAGGTTTCTGTTAAGCAGCCGTGTGGGTGGAATTGAGTCCTTGTGTATATGACTTGGTGTCTAAGGTGGTATTGTGTGGGCTCTTGAGCTTGACTGCCTGGGCTTAAATTCAACCTCTGCTTCCTAGCTCCACAACTTTGGGCAAGCCATGTAATGCTCTGTGGGCCTAGGTTCCTCATTTGTAAAGTGGGAATAATAATATGACCTACCTCACAGAGTTGTTGTAAGGATTAAATGAGTTAATACATGTATCCTTTTTTTTTTTTTTTGAGATGGAACCTTGTTCTGTCACCCAGGCTGGAGTGCAGTGGCGTGAACTCGGCTCACTGCAACCTCTGCCTTCCAGGTTCAGGTGATTCTCCTGCCTCAGCCTCCTGAGTAGCTGGGATTACAGGCACTCACCACCATGCCCGGCTAATTTTTATATTTTTAGTAGAGACGGGGTTTCCCCATGTTGGCCAGGCTGGTCTCAAACTCAAGTGATCCACCTACCTGGGCCTCCCAAAGTGCTAGGATTGCAGGCGTGAGCCACCGTGCCCAGCCAAGTTAATACATGTATGCTTTAGAATAGCTCTTGGCACATAGTAAAGGGTTTATAAATGGTTGCTGCTATTATTGTTGTTGTTATTACTGCAACTACTATTGCTACCTGTGATTATGACTATGCTGCTCCTCCTCTTCCTCTTCCTTTGTCAGGGAGATACCTGACCCATTTCAGGGGCTTCCATAAATGTTACAGGAAGGGAGGAATGTTGAACCAATGAGTTGACCTATAAAATGAAAACCTTTTAAAGGCCCTCTTAGCGTTTGAAGAAATGGGATAGTAAAGTTGATACATTATGAGATTTGTTCATATCTTTTTATTTTTTAACTTCCATTTTCTGTGCAGACCTGAAGGCATTGAACGACAGTACAGGAAGAAATGTGCAAAGTAAGTATTAACAATGTGGGTTTCTCCAAGCATAGGCAAGTAGAGGCATAATGTGTTAGGAAAATAATTATTTGGATACAACTCTCCATTATGTCTTTTTTTTTTTTTTTGAGATGGAGTCTTGCTCTGTCACCCGGGCTGCAGTGCAGTGGTGCCATCTCGGGTCACCGCAACCTCTGCCTCCTGTGTTTAAGTGATTATCCTGCCTCAGCCTCTCTAGTAGCCGGGATTACAGTCACGTGCCACCATGCCTGGCTAATTTTTATATTTTTAGTAGAGACAGGGTTTTGACATGTTGGTCAGGCTGGTCTCGAACTCCTGACCTCGGTTGATCCGCCCACCTCGGCCTCCAAAACTGCTGGGATTACAGGCCTGAGCCACCTCGCCCGGCCCCCATTGTGTCTTTATCCTTATAATCTCAACTGCCTTCAGACTTCAACTAAGCACAAATACCAATATGTTCCCCAAAGAGGCTAGTCAAAGTTATATCTTTGACCAGATGACCAGAAAAAGGAATTTTTTTTTTTTTTTTTGTTTTGAGACAGAGTCTTGCTCTTGTTGCCCAGGCTGGAGTGCAGTGGCACGACCTCCACTCACTGCAACCTCCACCTCCCAGGTTCAAGCAATTCTCCTGTGTCAGCCTCCCAAGTAGCTGGGATTACAGGCACCCGCCACCACGCCTGGCTAATTTTTGTATTTTGAGTAGAGACGGGGTTTTGCCATGTTGGCCAGGCTGGTCTCGAACTCCTGATCTCAGGTGATCCATCCGCCTCAGCCTCCCAAAGTGCTGAGATTACAGGCGTGAGCCAACACGCCTGGCCTAAGTGATTCTTATCAGGTAGAGGTGGTTTTAGGAAACACTGAGAAGAGCCAATCATTAGTTTATGCCACCAACAGAAATATTCCCAGAGTCTAAGCACACTTTGCAAATTGCTGTTTTGGGAATTTGGATTATGAGACTTCGCAGAAATTCACTGTGCCATTGCAGGTGTGGACTGCCGCTCTTCTACCAATCCCAGCCGAAGAATGCTCCCGTTACCTTCATTGTGGATGGAGCGGTAGTCAAGTTTGGCCAGGGCTTTGGGAAGACGAACATATATACTCAGAAACAAGAGCCTCCTAAGAAGGTAATTAACCATTGAAAGAGAGACTGCTTAATATAGCTCTAGATTTAGCTGATGTTTTGAAATAAGATTATAGTGCATGAGAAACTGCTCTTTATGGATGTATTCTTTTTATTTCTTTTTTTTGTCTTTTTCTTGCTTTTATTTCTTTTTCTTTTTTCTTTATGGATATATTCTTATACTTTATTTTTATTTTTTAAAAGTTAAAAACAATTTGAGGGGTGCATAGATGCACATATTTATGGGGTACATGAGATATTTTGATACGGGTATGCAGTGTGTAATCACATCATGGAAAATGGGGTATTCGTCCCCTCAAGCATGTATATGGATGCATTCTTTATTAATCGGGTGCCATTTTTGTGTATAAACAGACGCTATGTAATTGTAACACCTGTTATGTGTTTTCTGTTTTCTACAGTTGCCTCATGAGTAAGGTTAGAAATTGTATGGTTTTGGCCGGGCGCGGTGGCTCAAGCCTGTAATCCCAGCACTTTGGGAGGCCGAGACGGGCGGATCACGAGGTCAGGAGATCGAGACCATCCTGGCTAACACGGTGAAACCCCGTCTCTACTAAAAAATACAAAAAACTAGCCGGGCAAGGTGGCGGGCGCCTGTAGTCCCAGCTACTCGGGAGGCTGAGGCAGGAGAATGGTCTAAACCCGGGAGGCGGAGCTTGCAGTGAGCTGAGATCCGGCCATTGCACCCCAGCCTGGGCGACAGAGCAAGACTCTGTCTCAAAAAAAAAAAAAAAAAAAAAAGAAATTGTATGGTTTTTACTCACATTATTTTCCTTCAAATTTTCCTCTTCTTATGGAGAGATGTCATCTGTTATTTTACATATGGTTTTTTTGAACAATTAAAAACAGTGAATTAGGCTAATTAAAAACTATGTTCCAAGCTGGGCATGGTGGCTCATGCCTGTAATCCCAGCACTTTGGGAGGCAGAAGTGGGAGGATCACTTGAGGCCAGGAGTTTGAGACCAGCCTGGGCAGCATGGCGAGACCCTATCTCTACAAAAAATAGAAAGTAAATTGGCTAGGTGTGATGGTGTTCACCTATAGTTCTAGCTACTCAGGAGACTGAGGTGGGAGGATCACTTTAGCCCAGGAGTTTGAGGTTACCTTCAGTTATGATTGTGCCACTGCACTCCAGCCTGGGTGACAGTAAGACCCTGTCTCTTAAAAAAAAATTAATTGCCGGGCACGGTGGCTCAAGCCTGTAATCCCAGCACTTTGGGAGGCCGAGACAGGCGGATCATGAGGTCAGGAGATCGAGACCATCCTGGCTAACCCGGTGAAACCCCATCTCTACTAAAAAATATAAAAAACTAGCCGGGCGAGGTGGCGGGCGCCTGTAGTCCCAGCTACTCGGGAGGCTGAGGCAGGAGAATGGCGTAAACCCGGGAGGCGGAGCTTGCAGTGAGCTGAGATCCGGCCACTGCACTCCAGCCTGGGTGACAGAGCGAGACTCCGTCTCAAAAAAAAAAAAAAAAAAAAAAATTAATTGGATGGGTGCAGTGGCTCACGCCTGTAATCCCAGCACTCTGAGAGGCCAAGGCGGGCAGATCGCCTGAGGTCAGGAGTTTGAGACCAGCCTGACCAACATGGAGAAACCCCGTCTCTACTAAAAAATGCAGAATTAGCTGGGCGTGGTGGTGCATGCCTGTAATCCCAGCTACTTAGGAGGCTGAGGCAGGAGAATCGCTTGAACCCAGGAAGTGGAGGTTACGGAGCTGAGATCGCGCCATTGCACTCCAGGCTGGGCAACAAGAGTGAGACTCCATCTCAAAAAAAAAAAAAAGTAATTAAAAATAAATTTTAAGAACCCATGATGGACCATGCATAGTGTCTCTTGCCTGTAATCCTAGCACTTTGGGAGGCTGAGGCAGCAGGATTGCCTGAGGCCAGGAGTTGGATACAAGCTTGAGACATTAAGCGTTAAGGATGCTTTTTTATACCTTCCGTCCTTTTTTTTTTTTTTTTTTTTTTTTATGCGAGACCCAGTCTCTACAAAAAATGTAAAATTAGCCAGGTGTGGTGGCATATGCCTGTAATCCTAGCTAAGTGTGAGGCTGAGGCAGGAAGATCACTTGAGCCCAGGAGTTTGAGGTTGCAGTGAGCTATGATTGCACCACTGTATTCCAGCCTGGGCAACAGAGTGAGACCCTGTTTCAAAAAAATAAAGTAAGTAATAATAAAAAAAAGAGCCTTTGATGGCAAATGTTAGAAAAATATGTAAATAAAAACATTGGCACTTTTAAATAGGTCAGCCTGTCCCAAAGAGGTAGTGTTTCCCCCAGTACCCACAGCCCCTCATGCAGGCATGTGCGCACACACTCACGGCTCATGGATCCTGTTTTGATGAACCGGACTGACTTCTTGCCTGCCACTCCAGGTGATGATGACCAAACGGACCAAAGACATGGGCAAGTTCAGTTCTGTCACTGTGTCTACCATTGATGAAGAGGAAGAGGAGATTGAGGCCGTAAGTGTCTCTGGTCTTAAGGAAACTGGAATTTGGGGGGGAAGGGTGCGAGGAAAGGGGACTCTGGAGTTGGAGCCTTGGAGTAATGGAAATATTAGAGACTTCACTTTGAGACCCTGCTTTGCTGATAAGAAACTGTGGGCTGGGCGCGGTGGCTGACATCTGTAATCCCAGCAGTTTGGGAGGCTGAGACGGGTGGATCATGAGGTCAGGAGATCAAGACCAGCCTGGCCAGCATGGTGAAACTCCGTTTCTACTAAAAATACAAAAAAATTAGCTGGGCGTGGTGGTGCGTGACTGTAATCCAAGCTACTCAGGAGGCTGAGGCATGAGAATCGCTTGATCCCAGGAGGTGGAGGCTGCAGTGAGCCGAGATTGCGCCACTGCACTCCAGCCTGGGGACAGAGCAGGTCTCTGTCTCAAAAAAAAAAAAAAAAAAAAAAAGGAAGAGAAACTATGACAGTGAGCTCATTCCTGTTTCCTTGAATCTCAGAGACATCTGTAAAATGAAAACGAAGGAGTTGGATGAGATCAGTGATTTTTTTTCCCACATACTATTTTTAGAGACGCCTTAGAGGGCAAAGTCCTCATCCCTCTTAATTTGAGAAACTACTGGACTGAATGATTTCAGGTTCCTTCCAGTCCAACTCTGATGGTTTGTGAGTCTGTCCTCAGTAGTAGTAGCAATTACCTTCATGGTTCTTCAGTATAATATTGATGGCGAGATGTCATCTGCTGTTTTACAAATGTTTCGGTTAAAATGTAAATGCTACTGAAGAATTACTTGAACCCAGGAAGTGGAGGTTGCAGTGAGCTGAGATTGTGTCACTGCACTCCATCCTGGGCAACAGAGTCAGTTTCCGTCTCAAAAAAAATAAAAACAAAAAACAAAATAACCAAATCCGCCTTCCTCCCCCCAAAAAAATACCCTAAATGCTCCTGGATTACTGAAAAGATGGAGAATGGAAAAGGAACAGAGTCCTGCCATTTTAGTCATGATTTCATGATTTGAGTAGTATACATTATGACTTAAGGTCTTTGTTGTTATTCCTTGGTGAGACTTCTGGTTTAAGGATGCTCCTTTTTTCCTTCAGAGGGAAGTTGCTGACTCATATGCACAGAATGCCAAAGTGATTGAAAAACAGCTGGAGCGCAAAGGCATGAGCAAGAGGCGACTGCAAGAGCTGGTGAGTAGCAGGGGGTAGCAAGGTGCTGGGGCCCAGTCGTTTGGATGTCTTGGTCTGAAAGACCTTCCAGCAGGCAGGGAAATCTTTTAGGAAATCTGTTGGGAGTTTCTAGAGTAGTTGGCTGCCAGTTTTATAACCCTGGTCTGTGACTGTCAGTGTACCCTACTCTGTAGTAGTGACCCCAGGATCTGGGCCCTAAATCATGATACTTGTTATGGCCCTAACTAGGATGATATTTTATTTTATTTATTTTATTTTATTTTATATATTTTGGAGATGGAATCTCACTGTCGCCCGGGCTGGAATGCCGTGGCGCAGTCTGAGCTGTGCTGATTTCCTATGGCCACAGCCTTGTCTTTTTGCCCATTTTGCCTACAAATAGCATTTTTTGTGTGTGTGCTATAACATCAGAAAGGTTGGAAGGTAGATGTTAGAGGTATATAATGATTTGGGAACTGTGATTCTAGTTTGTACACTAAATAAACATTAAGGGAAAGTGTTTGGGTTGGTTAGATTAAGGAAGGAAGATAATTTTGTGTCATGTATCAAGACATACACTTTTTTTTTTCTTTCTAGGCTGAACTGGAAGCCAAGAAAGCGAAAATGAAGGGGACCTTGATTGACAACCAGTTCAAATAACCAGGCCTTTTTCTGAGCCCTAGACTGGAGGCAAGCATTTAGATCAGGAGGCAAAGTAATTTCTTGATTATATAGATGATGGACTCTTATTTGTGTCCTAGCAGAAGGCTTTACGTTGTTTCCCATTGGTTCTCCTACATTCAGTGAGGTCTTTAACTGAGTCCATTTGACTTTCTTTCTTTTTTTTTGAGACAGAGTCTTGCTCTGTCGCCCAGGCTGGAGTGCAGCGGCACGATTTCGGCTCACTGCAACCTCCGCCTCCTGGGTTCAAGCGATTCTTCTGCTTTAGCTTCCCGAGTAGCTGGGATTACAGGCGTGTGCTACCACACCTGGCTAATTTTTGTATTTTTAATAGAGACAGGGTTTCACCATGTTGGTCAGGCTGGTCTTGAACTCCTCACCTAGTGATCCGCCCTCCTCGGCCTCCCAAAGTGCTGGGATTACAGACGTGAACCACTGCCCCGGCCACAAATCCATTCTCTTGTGTAATTTCCCTTTTGTTGTTGTTGTTACTTCATTTTAGTTTAGTTTTTGAGATGGAGTCTCACTCGGCCCCCCAATCTGGAGTGCAGTGGCATGATCTCGGCTCACTGCAACCTCTGCCTCCTGGGTTCAAGAGATTCTCTTGCCTCAACCTCCCGAGTAGCTGGGACTACAGGCACCTGCCACCACACCCGGCTACTTTTTGTATTTTTAGTAGAGACGGGTTTCACCATGTTGGCCAGACTGGTCTCGAACTCCTGACCTCAAATGATCCACCCACCTTAGCCTCCCAAAGTGCTGGGATTACAGGCGTGAGCCACCATGCCCAGCCTTGACCTGCTTTCTAGGAGATGGAGTTTTCTGAATTTTTCTGTATTTAGGTTTTCTGTACTATTTTTTGTCCATTTGATGCAAACTTCTTAAGCTGTGTAGAAACTTTATGAATAGATCAGTGCTTTAGTGTCTCCAGATGATTTTTGGAAAAAATATTATGGTGTGTCATAGAAAAAGCACCATGAATTATATTTAGGTATAGCAAGTCAGATCCTTTGAAGTGACTCTGTCTCTGTTCTTAGAAGGGTTCTTGGAATTGGCTGTGGTTTGAATCTTTCTACTGTCAGAGGAACCCCATTAAAAGCCAAAGTCTTCATAAGGCTTTCTTTACTTCAAACACTGAAGCTGTAGGTGAGCCATCCCATATCGATTGTATACTCAAAGAAGGAAAAGCCAGATTGCAGTGAGCGGGTAGGACAGCTCAGATCCAAATGAAAGTAGGGTCTCAAGTAACCCAAGACCGGGTGGCTCACACCTGTAATCCTAGCACTTTGGGAGGCCGAGGCGGGCAGATTGCCTGAGCTCAGGAGTTCGAGACCAGCCTGGGCAACATGGTGAAACCCTGTCTCTACTGAACTACAAAAGAAATTAGCCAGGTGTGGCAGCATGCGCCTGTAGTCCCGGCTACTCGGGAGGCTGAGGCAGGAGAATTACTTGAACTTGGGAGGTGGAGGTTGCAGTGAGCTGAGATTGCGCCACTGTACTCCAGCACTCCAGCCTGGACGACAGAGTGAGACTCTGTCTCTACAAAAAAAAAAAAAAGTAACCCAAGGGAGGGAGCTACCATCTAGTCGGGCAGCTAGTACTGCTGCTTTGCATGGATACATGGGAGGGAGATGTTATAGATTAAGAAATGATAGCGAGATAAACAAAATGATCTGTTGGGTATCTTTTACTTTACGTTTGCTGTTTGCAGAGGAGTGTTGTATATATAGATATTATTTTATGTCACACTGCTTCAGTGATACCTATATCCATGTTTGTATCCATGTTTGTATCCATTCAACTGTATTAAAAGGTGTTGGGACAGGAGTTGTGTTAACCTTCTTGTGTTATCTACAAAAAGTTGCACTTAGTAGGTGCCCAAGGCGGTTTGTGAGGTGCTACGGGGAGATAATAGTAGGATAGTAGGTCAGGTTTTTGTTGTTGTTGTTGTTTGTTTTGCTTTTTTTCTGATCTTATTTGCAAGGCAAAGTAGGTTAGATGTAAGCTAGCAAGAACTGGGAAAAAGAGGGGTGGGGGTCCCGGGAAGGCCCAGGATAGGGCTGTGTTACCATCTTCCCGGTTATTTTCCTGTATCCAATGAAGTCTTTGCAACAAATTCTTCCTCTTCACCTTGTTTCCTGTCCTCATTCTGAGAGATAATTAACCGTCATATGGATGACAAACCATAACCTCCTTACAGTTCCTTAACCTCTACTCCAGACAGTGACCTTTACCTTTCCTGCACTTTAGCCACAAACTCCCATACCACAGCCTGGATGTCATCCATTCCGCCTCCGAAATCCAGTACTCTGCTCTCTGACCACAACCTATCCTTGCTCTCATGTGCTCACTTCCTCTAAACCTATTTTATTTTGTTTTTAGATTTGAAGGGTGATTATTTTATTAACAGTAATAATGAAAAAATAGTAGTAAGAATAGCAACAATAATACTAGCTACCTTTTATTGAGCACTTACTATGTGTTGGATGCCATGGAAAGCACTTTACAGGTATTATCTTAGTCTAAACAACGCGACATCCTATGAGACAGGATTAACTGTTACCATCCTTGTTTTAGAAATGAGTGCTCCCAGGCTTAGAGAGTTTAAGTTTCTCAAGACCCCATAGCCAGTAAGAAATAAAGCCAAAAATCTGACTCTAAAACCTGAGCTCTTAACTATGCTGAACTCCCTCTGTGAATTTAAAACATACACATTATTCAGAACAGATTATAATTTCATTTTGAAAAATCAAGTGAAGTGCAAAGACAAGACACTTGCTTAGAGGAACGCCTGTAGCAAACATGTGATTACCTTTCTACATATTTTCTGAAATACTTGTCTTTAGATACTAATCGTAAACCATTTCAACATCTGGTTGAAATTATGCATGTTGCTTCATCTATAGGACTGTAAAACGTCATTAGCACCAAGCAAGCGTATGCTCTTCATTATGTTTTACTATTTCATATTGAAATAGTTATTAAAATAACATGATATGTTAGTCTTTAGTTTCTCTATTTTCTTTATTAACTTGTATTTTAACAGGAAATACAGCATTTTACTGTTGATATGAAGAGCCATGTTGACATTTGGGAGAGTCTTATTCTTTTTTTTTTGTTTTTGCAAATTATCAACTATGACAAAACATTAAAATGTTGCAAAATGTTCTCTATTAATTAGTGGCATTTGGAATTGTCACTTTATTGTTTAAAATAAATTGAAAAGCTTTTTAAAAAACTAGGTTGCCTGGGCCATTTTAGGTTCTTTGTCACTCTGCCCATGTCTCCTCAGTCTCTAATTTGTAAGTTTCTTCATGGCATCTCGTAATTTTAATTTGCATTTCCCTAATGGCAGATGGTGTTGAACATATTGTTTTCCTTTTTTTTTTTTTTAACTGTGGTAAAAAGCACATAAGGTTTACCATCTTAACCTTTTTTTTTTTTTTTTTTTTTTTGAGACGGAGTTTTGTTCTCGTAGTCCAGGCTGGAGTAAAATGGTGCAATCTCGGCTCACTGCAACCTCTGCCTCCCGGGTTCAAGTGATTCTCCTGCCTCAGCCTCCCAAGTAGCTGGGACTACAGGCGCCTGCCACTATGCCCGGCTAATTTTTGTATTTTTAGTAGAGATGGTGTTTCACCATGTTGGCCAGGCTGGTCTCTAACTCCTGACCCTGTGATCTGCCTGCCTCGGCCTCCCAAAGTGCTGGGATCACAGGCGTGAGCCACTGTGCTTGGCCCATCTTAACCATTTTTAATTGTGCAGTTCAATAGTGTTAAGTGTATTTGCATTATTGTGATACAGATTTCCGGAACTTTTTCATGTTGTAAATCTGAAACTCTATACCTATTAAGTAACAGCTCTCCCTTTCTCTCTCCCCACAACCCCTGGTAACCACCATTCTACTCTGTGTTTTTATGAGTTTGACTACTTTAGATATCTCATATAAGGGGAATCATATAACATTTATCTTTTTGTGACTGGCTTATTTCACTTAGCAAAATGTCCTCAATGTTAAATCATGTTGTATGTGACAAGAACGCCTTCCTTTCTAAGGCTGAGTAATGTTCCCTTGTATGTATATACCACATTTTGTTTATCCATTCATCCGTCACTGGACATTGGGATTGCTTCCACCCCTTGCTATTGTGGAATAGTAGCACTATGAACATGAGTGTGCAAATATCTCTGAGACCCTGCTTTCAATTCTGATATATACCCAAAAGTGAAATTGTTGGTAGTTCTATTTTTAATTTTTTGAGGTGCCTCCATACATACTCTTTTCCACAGCACTTGTACCATTTTACAATCTTTTTTTGTTTGTTTTTGAGACAGAGTCTCACTCTATCACCCAAGCTGGAGTGCAGTGGTGCAATCTCAGCTCACTGAAACCTCTGCCTCCTGGGCTCAAGTGATTCTCTCACCTCAGCCTCCCAAGTAGCTGGGATTACAGGGGTGTGCCACCATGCCCAGCTCATTTTTGTATTTTTAGTAGAGATGGAGTTTCACCATGTTGGCCAGGCTGGTCTCAGACTCCTGACCTCAAGTGATCTGCCGGCCTCAGCCTCCCAGAGTGCTGGGATTACAGGCATGAACCACTGTGCCCGGCCACATTTTACAATGTTATCAGCAATACACAAAGGCTCTAATTTCTCCACATCCTCACCAACACTTGTTGTTTTTTTTATTTTTAATTTTTTAGTAGTAATCATCCTAATGGATGTGAGGTGATATCTCATTGTAGGTTCTTTTTTTTTTTTTTCATTTCTCTAATGATTAGTGCTGTTGAGCATTTTTTCATATGTTTGTTGGCCATTTGTATATCATCTTTAGAGAAATGTCTATTCAAGTTCTTTTGATCATTTTAAAATTGGATTATTTGATTTTTTGTGGTGGTTAATTTTTTTTTTTTTTTTTTGAGACAGAGTCTCACTCTGTCACCCAGGCTGGAGTGCAGTGGCATGATCTTGGCTCACTACAATGTCTGCCTGCCAGGTTCAAGCGATTCTTCTGCCTCAGCCTCCCGAGTAGCTGGGACTACAGGTGTATGCTACCACACCTGGCTAATTTTTATAGTTTTAGTAGAGACGGAGTTTCACCATGTTGGCCAGGCTGGTCTCGAACTGACCTCAAGTGATCCACCCACCTCAGCCTCCCAAAGTGCTGGGATTACATGTGTGAGCCACTGCTCCCGGCCTCCAGTATAAATTTTAGAATTGGCTTGTTGGTATCTCCAGTATTCTTTCTGGGATTTTGATTGGGATTGTGTAAAATCTAAAAATCACATTGGGGAGAACTGACATCTTAATAATATTACATTTTCCAACCCATGAGCAAAGTGTGTCTTTCCATTTGTTTAGATCTTTGATTTCTTTCATCAGTGTTTTTTTTTCGTGTATAGATCCTGCAGATATTTTGTTTAAATTTATACCTAAGTACTTCATTTTTCCAGTGCTATTGTAAATCTTACCTTCTTTTAAAACTATAACATCTGTCCTACAAACTCTCAATTTAGAATCAGTCCTACAATATGTTTTGTCTGATCTCTTACCCAAATAGTTGAGTGTTCATGTCTTGTCAATGAGTGGATATTTGGCACCGTGAATTTATGGTTCCAATGTCAGATGGGTTCTCACCACAGCTAGTCAATCCTTCTGTATGTTTTGGGTCAGCAACTCTCCTGTTTCCCTAAGGAACAGTTTACAGCTGCTTTGTTCAAGCCTCTCCCTGCAAGCTCTCTCTCTTGGCAGATGATCAGAGAGAGATCTCCAAAGCACCAACAACTTAAGGGCACACTTAGTTGCATCTGCCTCCATCTTTTTCTCTTTCAAATCTCAGAGGAGGGGATCCCCCTCTTCCTACTTAAGGCGAATCTACTACCTTTTAGTCATTCAACTAGTATACATTGAGTATCTATTATATGCCAGATATTGCACTAGGAGCTGGGGGCATAGTAGAGAACAAAGCAGCTCACATTCTGAGGGCAGGGGTGACAGATGAACAAGTGAACAAGAAAATTATCCATGAAAATAGTGTGATATGATAGAGAGTGATGAGTAATCAAGGATGGGCTCTGAGGAAGGGATACATGAGCCATATAAGACCTGAAGGATCTGAATGAACCAGCCATATAAGGATCAGGGGAAAGCATTCCAGGTGATGATGGCATTAGAAAGGACAAAGGCCCTACAAAGGGAATAAGTTTACATGTTGGAGGAACAGAAATGAGGCCAGTGTGACTAGGTTGTAGTGAGTAAGAGAAAGCAAGCAAGTGCAAGGAGGCAAAGTCAGAGGAGTGAGCAGAAACCAGGCCATGAAGGGCCTTGCAGGCCTGAATAAGGATTTTGGATCTTAAAAATACAGTGAGAAGTTATTGATTCAAGGCTTTTAAGCAGAGGAGTAACATGATATGATTTATGGGTTTTTTTTTCTTTTTTTTTTGAGATAGGGTCTCTGTTGCCCAGGCTGGAGTACAGTGGCACCATCATAGCTCACTGTACCCCCAACTTCCTGGGCTCAAGCAATCCTCCTGCCTCAGCCTCCCAAGTAGTAGCTGGGACTACAGGCTCGTGCTTCCATGCCTGGCTAATTTTTTCTATTTTTTGTAGAAAGAAATTCCTCCTTTCCTTTTTCTTTTTCCTGTCCTTTCCTTTTTCCTGTCGTGTCCTGTCCTCTCCTGTCCTTTTTTTCTCACTAGGTTACCCTGACTGGTCTTGAACTCCTGGGCTCAAGTGATCCTCCTGCCTTGGCCTCTCAAAGTGCTGGATTATAGACATATGCCACCGTGCCCAGCCAATTTATGTTTTAAAGTCTTTCTAGGCTGGGTGCGG